ATCAACTTGTTGCTTCAGATTTAAATCTCAGAGTACGCCTTCACTACACAGATGCACATTATCACAATTTTATCATATATTCTGATTAAATATTTTTGATTTTACAATTGCAATAAGCAAGGAAGACTTGAAAAATATAAAGACTTAACACTTATTCTTAGATACTAGTATATATATATTTAAAATATTGCAACCCTCTTTTCTTGCCAGTAAGTACATTTTTTGAGAAGTGTAAATTGGCTTATAGGAAAGGTACAATGTTAATGTGAATGTCCGGCACGCTTGTGTGTAGGGAAAAGAACACACTTGTTTTTATGTTATTCCCTCCTCTTACAGCTTTCAGCCCAGTGCCTTTTTAAAATGTTTGAATATACATCGAAAATATGCACCTGACTTCTTTGTTTACATATTAAATGGAAAATTTGTACTGGCTTTCCAGATGTTATAACTAAGCAAATTTGAGCATCCTTTTTGATGGAGGATACCCATTTGCAATGCAATGTATCATTAACTACTCCTACACTGTTTTAACCCAGATCCTTCAAACATGTTTGTATATATATGTAAGACTCAGATTGACGTATTTCTCTAATCGACATCCAAATCTGACATTATAATGAAATGAGATTTAAAATCTACGGCCAATTCTATATATGCCCCTCTAACAAATTGACGTCCAATTTTTTGCCATCTAATCTATGTTCTTTTTACGGACTTGCCACAATGACGTCACAACTTTATTGAATGAAAACAAATGTCATATTCCTGATTTAGTATATATACATTTTCAGAATGTAAGTGGTGAGCTGAAAGTAAAACTAAAAAAGTTGTGAAAAATATAAGATTTTTAATCTTGCAAAGTTGAAATAATAATACTTTTCCTCGATTGTTCTTCTTTATTCTGTTGAGACTTATATGTATATTGCCCTTTAGATGTCATTGGGTTATTATTGTCATTGGGTTATCTCATGGACACTGATTTGAGAACGTGACGTCACATTCGATTTGAAGAATGAACGTTGATCTGAGTCTAACATATATGTATTCATTTTTATGCCCCGCCGTGACGGAGGGGGCATTAAGTTTTACCCTTGTCCATGTGTATGTCCGTACAAATGTACTTCTGTCCGTGCATACGTCCCAAAGTTGGTTTCCATTCTCTAACTTTAGTTTGCCTCAACCAAATGTTATGAGACTTATACACAATGCTTATTACCACATAATACAGATCAAGTTGGAAATTGGGTGGCGTCACTTTTACCGTTCTTGAGTTATGCCTCTTTATAAACATAAAAATTGCTGAAATTTTGGTTTCCGTTTTCTAACGTTAGTTTGCCTCAATCAAATGTTATGAAACTTATACACAATGCTTATTTCCACAAAATACAGGTCAAGTTTTAATTTTGGTGGTGTTTACCGTTCTACAGTTATGCCTGTTGACAAATGGATAAATTGCTGAATTTTCGTTTCTGTTCTCTAACTTAAGTTAGCCTCAACCAAAGGTTATGAATCTTATATACAATGCTTATTACCACAAAACAGAGATCAAGTACAAACTTGGGTAGCGTCACTTTTACCGTTCTTCAGTTATGTCCCTTTATGACTTTATATGATATGCAAGTGTTCTTCAGTTATGTCCCTTTATAACTTTATATGATATGCAAACGGGGGCATCATCTGTGTCCCATGGACACATTCCCCATTTATTTTGTATTTACTGAAAATATGAATTTCTCTTTGTGTACACATTTGGATAACTTTTGTAGATTTTCTAAAAGGAAAAACCTAGTTAATTTTCAACAGCATTCTCGATAGAGGATACCTATTAGTAGGTCACCTGGCACCACCACTTGGCATCCAGTGTTGTCATCAGTCTGTCTTTCTTAAACTTTTTTAAATATCATCCCTGATGTATGGCATGTTCTCTATAAATCATAGCTGCCTCACCTATAAACAGACCATAAGAGTATATCTTTAATTTCTGGCTAATATATTAAAAACTAAAGCAGGTAGGGACATGGGGAATAAATGATCATTATGGTATCAACCTTATGCCAAGATTTATTTACCCTGGAGTTTTAAAAAATAAGCACAACACTCTTTACTAAAGACTTAACAAACCACCACATGCACTACAGCACAGAGTAGTTAATTCTTGTTGAGCTGGTAGATATCCTTACAATTCTTTACATTAAAAATGTCATATACATATATAAAAAGTGTTTAGGGAAGGGAGGCAAGGTAATTTTATATATATAATTTAAGTTCAAAAGATTTAAGTAAAAAATTTATTGTAATTATAAACTTGATAATTCTTGTCATTCTGTAAATTTATCTATATATTATTTTCTCCTGTTATTTTTATGCTGCCTACAATATTAGGTGAGCATTATGTTTTCCAGTCTTTGTGTCTGTCTGTTTGTCCGTTCTGTAACAAGATAAAGTTTTTGTTTAAGGTAAACTGAAGTTGTGGACACATTAACTTCAAACTTGGTACACATGTTCATTATGCGTGATGATGTGAAGTTTTAAAAAAAATATTTGCCAAATGAGGATTTTGAACTAGATTTTTCACCGATCAATGAACATCAGTATGTGATAATGTGAGGAGGGCAAGGGTCTGGAAACTGTCATATTTTCCAGTCATGTCCTAAATAGCAGATTGGGATTTAGGACCAAATTATTTTTTTAACAGAAATAATTTCTGTCATTTTATTGAGATTGGGTTTCTTAATCGCCATTTTGAGACAGAGTCATTAAAATCATTTTAATTTTAAACTGTTGCATTCCATAAACTCTTCTTGAACATTTTTAGAAAAATGGTAAGAAAATTAATGAAGTAAATGCAATGAAACAGTAAATACCTTTTGTTAATGCTATGCATCTAGTGTGAATAATTTCAACAGTTTGAAAAAAGGGCTGCAAATTTTAAGTCATCTCTGACAAAATGACCAAAATTGGATGACAAAATTTCTGGATCCTTGGAGCAGGGCATTATGTCCAATGGACACATATTCTTGTTAACATTACTTTAAATAAGTACAATAATCTGTTAACAAGGATTGCAGTACTAGTTCATCTTCAGTTAAAATCAATATGTGTAGATCAGTTGTGTTGGTCACATCTACATGATATTTAACGGATTTTAAACCCATCTGCCCAAACAATTTTTGTAAAGGTATAAATATTTTCACATAAATTACCATTTACTTTTAATGACATTATATTTTAAATTATTTCGACTGTGTCTAGTTTTTCATACAAAACAACACCTTTCATAGACTTATATCATAAAACTGTGTCTGTAAAGGGTGTGGTTCAGTATATACCTGTTTGTTATATATGATTTTTCACATGAATTGTTGTAATAAATGTCACCTTCTTAAAAAGCTGATATTTGATGGAATTTACACAAAAAATCATAATACGATCATGTTGTAATCGTTATGATTATGATGAAATGATTGCTTTATATTTTATTTCAAAATGTTTCAAATTATCAAGATTTAGTAGTCTTATCAAATTTATTGAAATCAAGGAATTTCAATTAGAATTTAAAACCTCTCATATGCACTTATAAATAAACTCACAATTCTTGATTTGAATTGCATTTTTAAATAATTAATTGATTAATTTTATGTTGTTTCACTTTCTAACATGTGGGAAATTTTGTGTAGATTGGAATTGGATTTTTGTCTCTCCTGTGATGTAAGACTCAAAGGCAAGGCATAGAGTTAGGTTTGAGAAGCATCTTCTTTGTGGTAAGATGTCTTCAAAAATTGATTTATAATTTTGGAATATACATGTATGCATTCCAAATTGTCGAAATTGCGTTAAAAAACTTAAATTTTGTCAAAAAGCAATAAATTTTTAGAACATTTTTTTTTGCTAGGATTTAAATGAAAAAGGTATCATTTGCTATTACGAAATGATTCTCTGTGTTGAAATGATTGGTTGCCTACCATTTACTAAAATGCCCACCAAATTACATAGTGTTGGGATTTTAACATCCTGAAATAATTGCTGGTTTCAAAGTTTATGAAAATTGACAACTTATGAACATTTGCTTTATTTGCATCAGTCTCTTTGCCCCACATAAAAATGTGAAAGCAGGGGGCCCTTGCTGACATGTCAGTTTTCTCTAGTTAAAACTTGTTTTCCTCTAAAACACAACAAACTTATGAGACCATGAAATCTAAGATAACAAAGCAAGAATGATCAGCTATTGCACTAATTATTCTAATTTGAATAATTCAATTAAAACCAGGAGATGTCACAGTGAAGCAATGCATGAAATTACATGTGTTTTTGATGGTTTTTTTTGCATGATTTAAGACAAAAACTGTGTTGAGCTGCACAAATGTTAGACCTAAATACCTATGTATGGATAATTTTAACAATTGTACAGATTATGATGAATCTGAATATTGGTAGTCAACAAATACCAGAAACAAACTGCTTAATTTATAATCTCTGGTTTTATGCACAAAAGGGGGCCTCAGGTCCTAGTGGTCTAAGTAGTACACCTACTGTCACTAGCCTGTCAACACTGAGGTTGCGAGTTCAAACCCGGCACAAAGCAGGTACATTCGACTCCAATCTTATATGACTAGGATTGCTACTGTCAGTTTCCTGCTGAAGGTTGGTGGTTCTCTACAGGCACTCCGTCTTCCTCCACAAATAAAAACTGGCTGCCAGGAAATAACCAACAGTGCTGAATGTGGCATTAAACACCAGAAATAATAATCAGTCAGTCATAAACAAAAAGTATTTCTTTATGTATTGTAAGTCTATCATTTTGATTGAAGGACATGTTTCATTTGAATGTTAAGTGACATATAGGTCCAACAGAACAGCTCCAGTATAACATCGATTCCCAATTTTCTAGAATAGATGTTTTTATTAGATGCACAATGTCACTATAATCTCCACACTTCCTTTTAAAGTATTTTAAATTCATGTTTGATGTTTGTTGATTTGAATTTTTTCAATCTTTTCAGGCACAAGTAAAAAATGTATATGATGATGATGAAGTTCTTGTTACATTTGAAAACAAGTAAGTTACATGACTTGATATTTCTGGCTTAGTATTAAATGAAAGCTTATTATACCCCCACTTTAAAATTACACCCCCTCTTTATAAAAATGTGGGGGTATACTGTTTTACCTCTGTCTGTCCATCCGTCCGTCCCATGAATATTTTTCGTCGTATCTTTCTCAGGAACTACATTACAAGGATTTCTGAAATTTGGTTTCAGGGTTTATATAATTCAGCTATACCGTGTATGCGTTTTCAGATTCATCACTCAACAACAAATACATATTTGGCTGGGGGTATCATCAGTGAGCAGTAGCTTGCAGTTTCACTTGTTATTTTTGTAGTATCTGGTAGTTTAGAGTTATTTCGATTTTGAGCAGAAATATAGCTGAAAACACATATCTCTCTAACCACAGTTAGATTGATATATTTTGAAATCATTAATAGTTTGGAAAAAACAGTTTTCAAACATTGCATATTTTATAAAAGTGTGATTCAGACTTTAAAAAATCAGTTTTTTATACGACCGCAAAAATCGTATATTGGTATCACGTCATCGTCGTCCGAAGACATTTGGTTTCCGAACAATAACTTTAGTATTAGTAAATAGAAATCTATGAAATTTAAACATAAGGTTTATAACCACAAAAGGAAGGTTGGGATTGATTTTGGGGGTTATGGTCCCAACAGTTTAGGAATAAGGGACCAAAAAAGGGCCCAAATAAGCATTTTTCTAGTTTCATGACAATAACTTGTGGAACAGTGTATGGATCTCTCTGAAATTATACCACAAAGGGATGGTTAGGTTTGGCTTTGGGGGGTTATGGCTCAAACCGATTAGGAATTAAGGGCCAGAACGGTGAGAAAAAACAAGGGTGTCCTGGTTATTGGACAATTACTTAAGTACAAATTACAGTGTAAGGGAGGTAATTCAAACACAAGTTTGAATTACCTCCCTTACACTGCTTTTAAATTATGTATTTAAAGAAATGTTGTATTGTCTTGAGGCGATTAGCTGTCAATTCATTTTTGTCGAGCCTGCGACTTTTGTCGCAGAAAGCTCGACATAGGGATAGTGATCCGGCGGCGGCGTTAGCTAACTTCTTAAAAGCTTTATATTTTAGAAGGTGGAAGGTCTGGATGCTTCATACTTTGTATATGGATGCCTCATGTTACAAAGTTTCCGTCAGTCACATGTCCAATGTCCTTGACCTCATTTTCATGGTTCAGTGACTACTTGAAAAAAAAGTTAAGATTTTTTGTAATGTTAGATTCTCTCTTATTATAAGTAATAGGATAACTATATTTGGTATGTGCGTACCTTGCAAGGTCCTCATGCCCGTCAGACAGTTTTCACTTGACCTCGACCTCATTTCATGGATCAGTGAACAAGGTTAAGTTTTGGTGGTCAAGTCCATATCTCAGATACTATAAGCAATAGGTCTAGTATATTTGGTGTATGGAAGGACTGTAAGGTGTACATGTCCTACTGGCAGGTGTCATCTGACCTTGACCTCATTTTCATGGTTCGGTGGTTATAGTTAAGTTTTTGTGTTTTGGTCTGTTTTTCTTATACTGTATGCCATAGGTCTACTATATTTGGTGTATGGAATGATTGTAAGGTGTACATGTCTAGCGGGCAGGTGTCATTTGACCTTGACCTCATTTTCATGGTTCAGTGGTCAAAGTTAAGTTTTTGAGTTTTGGTCTTTTTTTCTAATACTATGTGCAACAGTTCAACTATATTTGGTATGTGCGTACCTTGCAAGGTCCTCATGCCCGTCAGACAGTTTTCACTTGACCTCGACCTCATTTCATGGATCAATGAACAAGGTTAAGTTTTGGTGGTCAAGTCCATATCTCAGATACTATAAGCAATAGGTCTAGTATATTCGGTGTATGGAAGGACTGTAAGGTGTACATGTCCAACTGGCAGGTGTCATCTGACCTTGACCTCATTTTCATGGTTCGGTGGTTATAGTTAAGTTTTTGTGTTTTGGTCTGTTTTTCTTATACTGTATGCCATAGGCAGTGTTTTCCCTAGGCCATTCAAGCATTGCGGTACCGCTACGCATAAATTTCGACCGCCATGCTTTCATCATTGCCGCAATGCATCCCGCTATGTGTGAAAATTATAACTGTGTAAAATATTTATTATCGATATTTTGAAAGTGAAGTGACAAGTAACAACACTCCACAGGTGTTTTAAAACTCATCCGACTGATAATTGGATGCATCATGTCGCGCGTGCCGGGATTTTACAACCTTCTTGATTAGATGGTTATACATTTGTACATCGAGACTTCGGTTACATAATAGAAGTTGCCAGTTAGCTGATAAATAAATAGTCAGATTAATCTCCAATGCATATCTTTCTGTGCTAAATAAAAAGTTTAACCTTTTCCAGTATAAATTTCACCAAAAAAGGGGCCTGTGTTTAAATTGATATCGTTATTTTACGGTTCCTTATTTTACTGTGATCTTTAAAAAGTAAATTAAAAAAAAATTGGTATAGTCTCTGGTATTATAAAATAAAACTAACGTAGTTTCACCGAGAATGGACAAAACTTTTTTTTAAATAAAGTTTCGCAGTTTTTTCCATCAGCTATATCAATGTATATTTACATCGATGCATTATTTTTTGATTGGTCACAACAATCAGTTATTTTTAGATTAGTCGCGGTTGATTATATCAAAGAATACACATCACCGCAACCGGGCCGAGAAAAAGAAGTGTCTTATGTATGCCATAGGTCTACTATATTTGGTGTATGGAATGATTGTCAGGTGTACATGTCTAGCGGGCAGGTGTCATCTGACCTTGACCTCATTTTCATGGTTCAGTGGTCAAAGTTAAGTTTTTGAGTTTTGGTCTTTTTTTCTTATACTATGTGCAATAGTTCAACTATATTTGGTATGTGCGTACCTTGCAAGGTCCTCATGCCCGTCAAACAGTTTTCACTTGACCTCGACCTCATTTCATGGATCAATGAACAAGGTTAAGTTTTGGTGGTCAAGTCCATATCTCAGATACTATAAGCAATAGGTCTAGTATATTCGGTGTATGGAAGGACTGTAAGGTGTACATGTCCAACTGGCAGGTGTCATCTGACCTTGACCTCATTTTCATGGTTCAGTGGTTATAGTTAAGTTTTTGTGTTTTGGTCTGTTTTTCTTATACTGTATGCAATAGTTCAACTATATTTGGTGTATGGAAATATTTTATGATCTATTTGGCAGTCACGCAGGTTTTATTTGACCTTGACCTCATTTTCAAGGTTCATTGCTCAGTGTTAAGTTTTTGTGTTTTGGTCTGTTTTTCTTAAACTATAAGCAATAGGTCAACTCTATTTGTTGTATGGAAGAATTGTTAGCTGTACATGCCTGCCTAGCATGGTTCATCTGACCTTGACCTCATTTTCATGGTTCATTGGTCAATGTTTAGTTTACTTGGTTAATGTTAAGTTTATGTGACAGTTGTAATAAAGCTTTATATTTAGGACTATCAACATAATATCAATGATTAGTAAAGAAGGCGAGACATTTCAGCGTGTGCACTCTTGTTAGAAGTTACTAATTTAATAATTTTAAAAATGCTGATTAAGGTAAATTAATTTTAGCTATGATTATGTATGTCATTTTCTATTTTAAGACTTTAATGATGTATTTAAATGGGTTATTATGGTTGCAAACTCCATTGGAAAATTGAATTGAGATTATGTCTTGAGGGAAAGAATTTTTTATTGGAAAAAAGGGGGGGGAGGTTAAAAAAAAATTGGGGGGTAAAAAAAAAAATTTTTCGGAGGGGGGGGGAGGTCAATTCACAACAGCATAGTATATTGCACAAGAGCAAAAAATTTAATATAAATTCAAATCATATAACCAATTTTAAGTTCTTTGACTACAGTTATTCTGTGTCAGAAACCTATTATGTGTCAAATATTGAATTACAATCCAAATTCAGACCTATATCAAGCGCAAATATTGTGTCCATTTTTGCCCCAACTGTTCAGGGTTGGACCTCTGCGGTCCTATCCAGCTGCGCTCAGCGAAGCAATTTATTTTCATTTGATCAAAGAAAAGAAATAATTGACCAACTTTGTTGCTATGTCATTTTTAAATGACGGATTATTATAAGATGGAGCACATGGTTCTCAATGAGCAACAACAATTGACAAAGCTATAAACATCGGAAAGTCAACTTAACATCAATTACAGTCATCATGGTCATAGGTTAAAGTACACAATTTGTGAACAAAATTTAATGTCTTTTTTTGAATAATACCTTTTTAGCTAATACTTTAAGGTCTCTTGGTCATATAGCTGTTCATGTCTTTCAGAACTTTAAATCCTTTGCTTTCAAATATTTTGCTTATAGCGTCCATGATGAAGATAAATCCAGGAAATTGCCTCATACGCATAAATATATACTGTGTTATTTTCATTTTAATATCTTCAGTTGTTTAATGCAAAATATATTTTGCAACTGTTGCTGAATACTGCAATTGGATTTTAGAATTCCTTGAAAAAATATATATGTATTTTTCTCTTGCCCTTGCAGAACAACTGAAAACATAATTAACAACAGGTTGTAAGGGTTGGTATGATATCAATGTGGTATAGACTATAGACACAATGCTATCATGTTGAAAGATGACATAGCTTTCGCCATCAATTGTATTGCCTGTATTTAACATCTATTAAAACAAAATACTAAGTATTGCAAATAATTTTTAGCTGGCAGCCTGATCAGAGAGTTAAGTTTGGTAATGTACGCTTACCACCAAGTGACCAATCAAAGAAGACAGAATTCAAGGAAGGAGAGATTGTGGAGGTAAAGTTACTTGTTTTTGAAATTTTAAAACATGGCAGTTTCAAATTTGTTAAGTAGACATATTAAACAGACACTTCAAAATTGAATACTTGCATATCACAAATATTGAAAATAATGAAGAAAAAAATAATATATTATTTTAATATTTAAAGAATACCATTGTACATGTATTACCAAAGCACTATTTTGACTGTTCTGTTTAGGCTTTGTTTGTTTTGATGCTGACAAACATTTTAAGATTTGTCTCAAATCGATATGATGAATGCTGTTCCTGAAATGGTTGTGTGAACTGTAATTGGTATCATATATTTACATAACTTACACAGGGTTAGTACCCTTGCTTTTGAACTTTCAGTCCCCAAGGGTACCATCTGTACTGTGGCCAGTGCTTTTGGCATCATTAAAATGAAATTGACAGTTTATTAATAACATGTTTACTTCTAGGGTGACCATTGTTGGTTTTTATAATATTGCTATTTTGCCATTTGTAGGAGAAGATCTAGTGATGTTCACTGACTTCCTTACACTTCCTTTGAGTATTCATTGGTTCATAATAATATCCATCTCTTATAGAACAAATTATACAGGTCAGTTATATGTTGTGTTACTGTAACTTTCACAATTCTTATTTCAGGTTTTTACCCGAACCACTGAAAGTGAACAATGTGGGTGGTGGAAAGCCAAAGTGAAAATGTTAAAGGGTGAATTTTGTGTGATAGAATATATCGGATGGGAAGGATCATCATATAATGATATTGTTCCACTAGATCGTATTCGTTCTCTTAACCAAAGGTAAACACTAGAACAAACAAGAAACCATTTTTCTATAGAAGTATTAGACATTGTTGATGATTTAATATTTTTAATAGAACCCAATGTTATGTCTGATGATTTCTATTACTTTTCAATAGTATATTTTAAACAAGTTTCTTGGAAATCAATCAGTTCTTGAAATGCTGGAATTTTAATAAAGTGTTACTTGACTTTCTTAAACAAGGCAAACATTCTTCAGTAATTTCCTTCTATGTTAAGTATAAAATCACAAGCTTTTCAAAACCTGGTAACAACTATTAGTAATATTTTCTCTCCTTAGCAAATATAGTGACTATTTGTTCATAGATCTTGTGTTGTTTCAGTGCACCATTTAAAAACAGTTTCTTAAAGTATTCCATACCTATACCAGAGGATCTAAGAGAAATGTAAGTAAACTTAATCACAAAATAATTTAAAAAAACAGTAATTTTACATTTATAGAATTTTGCTCAAAGATCTGTGATTTTTGTCGAGCCTTCAACTTTTGTCAAAAAGCGAGACATAGCGATCCTACATTCCATCGTCGTCGTTGGCTGCGGCGTCCACAAATATTCACTCTGTGGTTAAAGTTTTTAAAATTTTAATAACTTTCTTAAACTATCCTGGATTTGTACCAAACTTGGACAGAAGCTTGTTTATGATTAAAAGCTAGTATCTAGAAGGACATTTTGTTAAAATTTTGTTCCATATTTTCTGTATTTTACTTATAAATGGACTTAGTTTTTCTTCCAGTTAACATTACATACAGTCTGCAGTTTAAGTTTTTAAAACATTTATTAGATTCATAAACTATCCTGGATTTTTACCAAACTTGGACAGAAGCTACTTACAATCAAAACATAGTATAGAGAGGAATATTTTTATTAATTTTTTTCCTCATTTTTGTTGAGCCTGCGATTAATAGCAAAAGTAGGCGAGACACTGGGTTCTGCGGAACCCTTACGAATTTTTATCTTAGGAGTTCTAATGTAAATCTGTAAAATGTAGCTGGTTGATTTTTAAAAAAATTATATCAGTTTCTCAGGTACTAGAATTATGTAAAATTGAGAATGGAAATAGGGAATGTGTCAAAGAGACAACAACCCGACCATAGAGCAGACAACAGCCGAAGGCCACCAATGGGTCTTCAATGCAGCGAGAAACTCCCCCACCCGGAGGCGTCCTTCAGCTGGCCCCTAAACAAATATGTATACTAGTTCAGTGATAATGGACGTCATACTAAACTCCAAATTATACACAAGAAACTAAAATTAAAAATGATACAAGACTAACAAAGGCTAGAGGCTCCTGACTTGGGACAGGCGCAAAAATGCGGCGGGGTTAAATATGTACATGTTCTGGACCATATGAGTATTTGAACCATATGTTTATGGTCATGACTCTTTGTGTATATACTCCTATGGTATGACTATAGGTGTGTATGGTCCGGGTATTTATACGATGAACGTTTAAATTACATAAGGTTGATTCAAGATGTCATAAATTAAGAGGTTCTTAAAACAAAATAAAGTGAATTTTCAGGTAGTAACTTGTGCTGAATTAGGTTCCTAGTAAGAGGTGTGTGTTCCTGCAAAGGAAGTTAGAACTTATTCTAAAAGTACTCATATGGTCTGGCCTGTTAATAACCAACCGAGTTTCATCTAGTATGGTTTGTATTTGTGATGTTGCAGCTAGTTTAACAATCAAAAAAAAAAAATGTTTTTAATACATTATTGTTTATTTAATCACATTTTGTTTTCACTTTGCAGTTGTTGTGAAGAAAATGCACATGTAGAATTTATTAAACATTGTGGTCCATCTTCTATTATATATAACGAAACAGAGTGTTCATTAGTTGTAATTGTAAGTATCCTTAAATTAAAGATTATGTGCCTCCTATGAGATACAATCTTCAAGAGCTATAAATGTAACAAAGGGCCTACATAATACTTGATTTCTGAAAAAATATCCTCATTTCAACTTAATTTGGCAAACTGTAAAAGGCCGGGACATTGCAAAATGTGAAACAATTCAAATGAGAAAACCAACCACCTGATTAATGTGCAGCATAGTGGTCAATGATATTCAAGTGTCCATACAATAAATTTGTCAAGCTATAAATTGCCTCAACTTTAAAACTAGTTGTGAATTAATTCAACTGAAAACACAACACATTATCTCATCAACATCATATTCCTTTAATGGACAAAATTGCTTAAAATACAACAACAAAAACTGACAAGGTTTTTCACTTAGCACAAGTACATCATAACTGGTTTGGGTTAAACTAGTTTCATGAATATGTAACCCTCATATTTCAAGTATTGTTTGAAGCTGTATTTATCTGTTTTCAGTCTACCTGTGAAAATGTAATAAAGAAAGCCACATTGTTGTCAGATATGCATTTAAAAAATTTACGTCAGAAGTTGTTATTAAAGCAAAGAACGGACGAAGCTGTTAAAAGATTACAGGTATGACATGTTTATTAAAAAAAGTAACAATTTTCCTCAAGATGAAAGTCATTAGTTCTTACATCATATTAGTTTGCAGGTAAAAAATTTAAGAGTTGTCTCTTTTATCTTTCTGTTTTAATGAATAAAATTATTTACATGATTATGGGTAAACTATAGTTGTTTAATCTTTACAGCTGGTATGTACTGTTTGGAAAAAAATGTTGATTTGGTAATTAAAACTTGTGTGTAAGGGTTCATCCGACCTGACCTCATTTTCAGCTATCGTTGATAATATTAGGCTTTTGTGATTCCAGAAGTAAGACATTGGATCTAAAAGACTTTCAGCATAAAACTGAGTAATTATTAGTTGAACAAGCAAAACATTTAAGTGTGTGAACTCTTGTTTGAGATGGGTTTTTTGTAATTATGAGCATTTTGCGACAGTTTTACTTAGTATCCTCTTGAATCAAGGATATAGAATGGGGTTGAGTTTTGAACCACCGCCAATTCTCAAGACTTGTCCTGCTGCTGGCCATACTTTAGAGGTTATGTGACCCACATTTCATGGTTTTTATGTCATAATTTACTTGGTGTAAGTGTACATTGGCGATATTCTTTTGTTTGTGAATCCATCTAGTTGTCTGTCCAATTCATCCCAAAAGTAGGTTATCCTAAGCAACATCACATACTTATTTGAATTTGAATTTTGTTAAGTTTAATGTTCTAGATTCAGTTTCTTATTTATTAAATGTCTATTATTATTACTGCCAATCATATCACTTTCTGTGTTTTTCTGCTTTAGTGTACATTGTCAAAATTGAAACAATACTATATGCAAAATATTATTACTTTCAGAGTTCAAAAGTGCGATCAGGATATATGGAGGAGTTTACAGTACGAGAAGATTTAATGGGATTGGCTATAGGTTCCCATGGTGCTACCATACAACAAGCTAGGCATGTTGAGGGTGTGACTGGAATAGAATTAGATGAGAAATCCTGTACTTTTAAAGTATATGGTGAAGTAAGTAACAGAAACGTCTATCTAAACATGTTGCTAAAGATTTCATTGTTCTTCATTCCCAGTAATATGTATACATGTCAATCAAAGGTTGTAGATTTGTATCCATACAATACTAAAAATAATATCAGAGGGATTGTTTAAACATGACTGTTTTTAGCTTAAAATATTTTTTACTTTTTGTTTATATTTATGCATATTGTGTTTAATATTGCAAAATTATTAAAATGATTTGAATTTTTTTTTTTAATTTCTTCAGTCACAGGAAGTAGTAAAAAAAGCGAGAGCAATGTTAGAATATGGAGAAGAAACATTACAAGTGCCAAGGGAATTAGTAGGTAAGTAATATAAAAACCCTTGTATGGTTCATTACTCTGCATGATGAGCTGAATAAACTTTTTATTTTTAACAATCAGAATGAATTAAATTGAACACAATGTTATCATGTTTAGAATGAGTATTAAGCAAGAGTTTTAATAGCTTCAAAGATTTGTTTACCATCATTACAATCCATCCTCAGCATTCAAATTTTTAAGTTTGAAGATTCTGATAATGGTTAATCCAGAAAGTCCTTACAACACACCAAATCTATAAAGTGTAATTATCATTGTATATATAAGTCAATATGGTTTGTATGAAGTAGATAAAAAAGATATTTTATAAGCATTGTTCTTTTACAGCAAAAGTAATAGGAAAAAATGGTAGAAATATTCAGGACATTGTTGATAAATCTGGTGTTGTTCGAGTCAAAATAGAAGGGGATAATGAGGCAGAAGTGCCACGACAAGAGGTATTCATTGGTTACCTTATAAGTCATCCATGTTTCTTCCAATAGCTTAACCTCCGGAAATATAACTTACATTTATGAACAAAAATTATGCTGTATTGTTAAGCATCTTTCCATGTAGTCATTTTGTAGATGAAACTGTATATGTTGTTCTTGAACATAACAATTATCAGTTATGATTTAATGATTTTGTATTGGTACCATTTTTTCATAGTTAACATATATTTTACTCAATTTTGTCTTGCAGAAATAAAAAAAAAACTGAATAAAGAAAAACCTAAATATATATTTTAAAACAAATCCTTCTGATAATTTTCAGGGACAAGTGCCTTTCTTGTTTGTTGGAACAATGGAAAGCATTGGAAATGCTAAAATTTTATTAGAGTATCAACTAGATCATTTAAAGGTGAGTCAAGAAATTTTGTTGGATATAAATGCTGGTATACTATTATTTAGGTTTCAGATTTAAATTATGTGTACAACATGTGTAAATGTAATTCTGAAATAACACATTTTCAAAAACAATTTGACAATGATTTAAAAAAAGATTAGTTTTTTCCTTCTAAAACTAATGACTTTGTTAACTCATGTTCTTGTAACTGATCTGTTCAATTGCAGTATATTCATAACTATTTAAACATTTTGTAAGATATTGAAATCAATGTAGCTCTGGTGAAACAGCTTCAGGTTGACTTTATCATACAAAAAAGATCAAAGGAAAAATACACAAAAAATGCGATAAACTAAATTATAAGCATTGTGATTACTTTTTCCTCTTGGACATTATTTTTGCACATTTTTTTTCAACACATTATATTTTGGTAACAGCTCTTCATAAAATTTAAACAGAATTGAACAGTTGCAAGAAAATGAATTAAACTTAAAATAGATATTATTATTATAAAGGTGTAAAGCCAAATCTAAAAGCTGAGATAATCACTAATCTTAAACAAAAAAATGTAAAGTTGTATAAGGCATTAAAGGCAAAATCAAACACTTATCAAGTTTATATTCTCAGCATATTATTTATATTTTAACTTTTTTTATCAGGAGGTAGAAAAATTAAGACAAGAAAAGATGGAAATAGACCAACAGTTACGAAATTTATCTGTCTCACAACCAGGGCCTTACTTCCCACCACCAAGGGAAAGGAGGTATGCTTTTATTGAAAGTTAAGCAAAAAATAATTGCATTTGAATGGCAATGATTTGACCAGTAGGTTAAATTCCTGATCAAGAAAATATAACATTCCCATGTTGATTGATGGTTTCAGGATTAAGATTTTTCTCTACTTAGTGGATTTGAATATTTCTTTTCAGTCACAAAATCTTTTAGATTTCCTCAACTTTTGGCAAATGAACAAAACAAATGATCCAAGGAGTTTCATATTGTCATAATTGTTGAGGATGCTTTAGTGTTCCAATCTGTTTGTGAGATTGATTTTGTTTTTCTGTATTAAAAGCTGTAATACAGTCTTGTAAGTGGAATGATACATTTGTGGAAGATATTAAGTGGATTCATTTTATCAAAACAAGTTATTCAAACCTAAGCACTTTTAAGTGTTACTTTTTTCTGGAATTATGATTCATTCTGTTAAAGTAGGTTCTTCATACTTTTGTTTTATCTTTTGGGTACTGTTATATTTTTGTTTACATTTACAAATATTTGTACAAATCTTGTATCTCTTGCAATTTAAATTTATTGTTTAAAGTAACTGTAGAACTCTTTCTTTTGTGTTTTTAGAAGTAGTAATGACCCTTACTCTGATGAAAGAGGTAGACGAGGTGGATCTGGTAGAGGAAGAGGACGTGGAGCTAGACGATGGGCTAATGAAAGACGAGGAATGAATTCTGGTATCCAGCTTAATACAAATTGTCTAAAAACTATCAGTATTAGTTAGGGGTTTTATATTGACTTGACTGATAGTTTTTCACTCTCTGTATTGTAATCAATTCAGAAATGTGATCTAATTAAAAGTTTATCAAATTACCCTGTTAAGTTGGTAAGAAATTGTAACGGAATTCTTTAAGAGAGTGACAGTCAAATAAATAAGGTTATTCTTTTATACATAGTGTGACACACAATTTAATTTCTCATTTATACAGTGTGGGGAACATTTTGCTATAGCTAACAATCTTGTTCATTATGATATTGTAGTGAACTAATCAGGTAAATATGTAATCCAATTAGTTATTGGTTTTATTAAAAATTATTTGTATATAATTCAGACCAGTGTTTAAATAGAACTTTCTGTTGAATAGGTGACGAATCTTTATCACGCCCCATAGGTGACTGGTCTGAGGAAGTAGCAGAGGAGGAACGGCAGAGAGGTTACAATACAGATAGTGTTCTCTCAGGGAGACAACGTGGACGTGGTCGAGGTAGAGGTCGAGCTTATCCATCATATAGAATGTCAGGTATACTGCTGTTATATAGAAGCCATCACTGGAATTAGCTTAAAAATGCACTGCATGTAAAAGCCTGTATTCTTTAATGTGTGTGTTTGATTCAGTAGAACAATATGCAGAATAAGAAGACATACATGGCACCTCCCTAAATAAAAAATTAATGATGAATATTTCAAAAATAACCATAATGTGAAAACAGTTTGTGTACTCTATAAAAAAAAAAAATTCCCAGACTAGTATTAAAAGATCAAGTTAGAAAACAACACAAGGAATTATATATATTTGGCAGCAACCCAGAAACAATAAATAGTTGAATGTTATGTATGGCATGATGCATGTTCCATCAACATTATTAATTTCATATTCCAAGCTTTGACTTTTATTTTGATATTTTTACTTTTGTTATGCATTATTTTGTAACCAACCACATTTTGTTTTATCACAGAACCATTCAACAGAAGACAACCATACCAATATCATTATGGACCTGAAAGTATGTTTTATTTTGCTAGCATATAATTTCAACAAATTGGAAAAAAAGGTTTTATCATATTTCAAATATATAAGTATAATATCTGGAAAAGGAGATGATTCCTAAATGTTTTTCAAGGTTAAAGGTAAAGCATGAGGTTAAGAGAGGTCAATAATCTCTCAATGCTATAGCAATTCTGTTCTCATCAAACTTCCTTTACACAATCATCCAAAGAGAGGAAATGATTTCACAAAAGTCAAATGTAAAGCAGAACTATAAGGTTGCTAGCAGCCTGAAATACATACTGACTTAATCATTTGGACTTCAAGAAAGCTTGTGCATCAACACAGTGAGAGATCAAATTTGGAATAGAAAATGAAAGGATATGGAGTAAATGTACATGGGACAAAATCGCACACAATACATAGAAAACATAGAAAATTATCAATGAACAGGGCTTTTATTCCTGTTCTTCATCTTGACAGTTGATGTAGGGCATTATCTCAATGTGAATGTTAATGCCTTAAAGTAATGGTGTAAAACTATTTCTTGAAAACACAAGAAGGGCCAAGAGAAAGCAAAAACTTGTATAAGTGAATGTCTTGTGTTACTTTTTGGAATGAAAATGCATGAAAAATTCTTTTACTTTTATTTTCATTACTAAATTTATTATATTCTAAGTTATAACTTGATCAAAGTCGGTGTAATATATAAAGAATTGTTTGGTGAGCCTTCAACATCTTGTTGTTTAGAAAATATCTTTTTCACCTTAAGGAATTCTTTGCCAAATTTATGAAAGCAATGTACCTCAAGTACTATAGACACCTATTGATAGTTAGGTTACAAAATCAATGGTCAAGGTTACAACACAAATTTTAGTTTCTAAATAATATCTTATAATATCTTCAGTCTTAAATCAAACTAAGGCAACTATGATTAGATTGGAATTTTTGGCTAGTTATGGTATGGTGAATGGCTGGTTGGCAGGTAGAGAAATATAGATTTCACCACTGCAACAAGTGTGTTACAATATTTCTCCACTCGAGTACAGTTAAAATTTTAATATTTAAAGCACGAGGCTTGCCGAGCTTTTTTAAATAATTAAAATTTAACTGTTGAGAGTGAAGAAATATCGTAATAAACGAGTTATAGTGGTGGAATCTGCTTCTCTAATGATTTTTATCCTTCCTTTTCAAAGATTTGCAGAAAGTTGTGTTCTTTATATGCTACGTCATCATGCATGGTCGCCTTTTTTCATGGCAAAACAATATGAAAATTCAGAAGAAACCAAGAAAATTTGACGTCATAACTAAATACTAATCATTTGCCGAGAACAGATATTTCACTAGTGAGGAGAAATATTTTTCTGACACCGATCAAGAAATGTGGAAATAGCATAAAAATTAGAGAAAGTGAACTTATTTTTAAGTAACCAACTTTTCATGCAGTATTCATTCCAAATTTTTTAAACTTTACAGAAAGTTTTTTATAAATGTAAAAGTTTTTCTAACACCCCTTCTCTCTATTTGATCTTTTTCTTTTTTGATTGTCATTTTGCTTCTGTTTATTTTTCTGAAATATACTTAAGTATACAATTCCATAATTCAGCATAATTGTTAATTTCATTTTTATACGACCGCAAAAATTGAAAATTTTTTGGTCGTATATTGGTATGACGTTGGCGTCGTCGTCGTCGTCGTCGTCGTAGTCGGCGACGTCCGGCGTCGTCCGAAGACACATTGGTTTTCGCACTCTAACTTTAGTTTAAGTGAATGGATCTCCATGAAATTTTACCATAAGGTTCAATACCACGAAAGGAAGGTGGGGATTGATTTTGGGGGTTATGGTACCAACAGTTAAGGAATTAGGGGCCAAAAAGGGGCCAAATATAAGCATTTTTGTAACTTCCAGACAATAACTTGTGTGTAAGTGTATGGATCTCTCTGACATTGTACCACAAGGTTCCATATCACAAAGGGAAGGCTGTAATTGATTTTGGGGGTAATTGCCTCAAAATTTTAGGAATTAGGGGCCAAAAAAGGGGCAAAAAACAAGCATTTTTCTAGTTTCATGACAATAACTTGTGTGTAAGTGTTTGGATATTTCTGAAATTGTATTACAAGGTTCCATATCACAAAGGGAAAGCTGGAATTGAGTTTGGGGGTAATTGTCCGAAACGTTTAGGAATTGGGGGCCAAAAAGGGGCCAAAAATAAGCATTTTTCTAGTTTCCAGACAATAACTTGTGTTCAAGTGTATGGATCTCTCTGAAATTGTACTGCAAGGTACCATACCACAAAGGGAAGGCTGGGATTGAGTTTGGGGGTGATGAATCATAAGGGGGGTTCAAAAAATTTTTGGGGGGGGATTTTTTTTTTTCTTTTTTTTTCTTTTTTTCCTTTTTTTTTCCTTTTAAAATTTTCCATTTTAAGTTGGTTATTTCTGATTAATATTTAAAAGCAAATAATAATGATATGGTAGGAGATACACACCAAACAGGATGTGTAAATTATTATATAATAAGTATTGTGCAATAGCAAGAAATTTTCAATTGCACAGTATTGCACAATTGCAAGAAATCTTCAATTGCACAGTATTGCGCAATAGCAAGAAATCTTCAATTGCACAGTATTGCGCAATAGCAAGAAATATCCAATAGCACAATATTGCGCAATAGCAAGAAATTGTCAATTGTACAGTATTGCACAATAGCAAGAAATATTCAATTGCACAGTATTGTGCAAAAGAAGATACTTCGTATAAATTGCTTATTTCTTGATCAATTTCAATGGGGTTTTATTCTTGAATTCTTGGGGTTCTTTAATATGCTGAATCTAACCGTGTATTAAGTTTTTGGATTTTGGGCCCGTTTTTAAATTGGTCCACATTGAGGTCCAAAGGGTCCAAAATTAAACTTTGTTTGATTTCATCAAAAATTGAAATATTGGGGTTCTTTGATATGCCGAATCTAACCGTGTATTTAGATTCTTAATTTTTGGTTCCGTTTTCAAATTGGTCTACATTAAGGTCAAAAGGGTCCAAAATTAAACTTAGTTTGATTTTAACAAAAATTGAATTTTTAGGGTACTTTGATATGCTGAATCTAAACATGTATTTAGATTTTTGATTATGGGCCCAGTTTTCAAGTTGGTCCAAATCGGGGTCCAAAATTAAACTTTGTTTGATTTCAACAAAAATTGAATATATGGGGTTCTTTGATATGCTGAATCTAACCATGTATTTAGATTTTTGATTTTTGGGCCCTGTTATCAACTTTGTCCACATTGAGGTCAAAAGGGTCCAAAATTAAACTTTGTTTGATTTCATCAAAAATTGAATTCTTGGGGTTCTTTGATATGCTGAATCTAACCATGTATTTAGATTTTTTATTTGTGGACCCGCTATCAAATTGGTTCATATTGAGGTCAAAAGGGTCCAAAATTAAACTTTGTTTGATTTCATCAAAAATTGAATTATTGGGGTTCTTTGATATGCCAAATCTAACCGTGTATTTAGATTTTTAATTTTGGGTCCCGTTTTTTAAATTGGTCTACATTAAGGTCCAAAGGGTCCAAAATTAAACTTAGTTTGATTTTAACAAAAATTGAATTTTTGGGTTCTTTGATATGCTGAATCTAAACATGTGTTTAGATTTTTGATTATGGGACCAGTTTTCAAGTTGGTCCAAGTTGGGGTCCAAAATTAAACTTTGTTTGATTTCAACAAAAATTGAATATATGGGGTTCTTTGATATGCTGAATCTAAACATGTATTTAGATTTTAGATTTTTGGCCCAGTTTTCAAGTTGGTCCAAATTGGGGTTCAAAATTAAACTTTGTTTGATTTCAACAAAAATTGAATATATGGGGTTCTTTGATATGCTGAATCTTACCATGTATTTAGATTTTTTATTTTGTGGGCCTGCTATCAAATTGGTTCATATTGAGGTCAAAAGGGTCCAAAATTAAACTTTGTTTGATTTCATCAAAAATTGGATTATTGGGGTTCTTTGATATGCCAAATCTAACCGTGTTTTTAGATTTTTAATTTTGGGTCCCGTTTTTTAAATTGGTCTACATTAAGGTCCAAAGGGTCCAAAATTAAACTTAGTTTGATTTTAACAAAAATTGAATTCTTGGGGTACTTTGATATGCTGAATCTAAACATGTGTTTAGATTTTTGATTATGGGACCAGTTTTCAAGTTTGTCCAAGTTGGGGTCCAAAATTAAACTTTGTTTGATTTCAACAAAAATTGAATATATGGGGTTCTTTGATATGCTGAATCTAACCATGTATTTTGATTTTGGACATTGGACCATAATAGGTAAATTAAAAAAATTGAAGTTCTTAGACCACATTCTTTCTGTGTCAGAAACCTTTGCTGTGTCAAATATTTAATCACAATCCAAATTCAGAGCTGTATCAAGCTTGAATGTTGTGTCCATACTTGCCCCAACTGTTCAGGGTTCGACCTCTGCGGTCGTATCAAGCTGCGCCCAGCGAAGCATTTTATTATTTTATGCAATTGATTTTGTTTGCCTTTACATTTAATAAGATCTTTCTTTATATATTTATTGCTGATCAATGTGATTATTAGTTTTGTTTATTCATTGAAGAGAACCTTTATAAGTTGAAACAACATGTGTCCGATTCTATTGTGTATTTCGCAAGAAAATATGTTTAAACTTACTCCTTTTATGACTAAAACTGTGCCACTTTTACTAAGAAGTTTTATAAAAAAAATCATATCCTGGAATGGAAATTTTACAAGCACTACATTTTTTGGGGCAAAGGTTAAAACTTCGGGTTATGCAGCATTTTACCACATTTATATGCCTCCAGTTTCATAGAGATTAACTTTATACTTTATTTTAACTGTTGGGGTTTTTATTGTTGTTATTTTAAATTGGCTAAAACAATTTTTTCTGAAAAATTTTAAAGTGGAAGGTACAATTTCATTGTTGCAGTTTTGTCTCATGGTAGTTTATTACAAGTAAGTAATAGTTAGTAACTTAAGTAATAAAGCTTTTAATTTTAGGTTCTTATGACACAGACGAAAACAGAGATTACTCGCGGCGGCGAAGAACTGATGATGATGATACAGTATTAGACAATGCTAGTGTTACTAGTCAAGATCAAGGTATGTTAAGATGAATAAGCTAAAGAATAAATTTATCTCCATGGAGATTAATTGACCATGCCCACTCAGTCATGATCTAGTGACTTTGAAACTTTTGTTTACTTAACATGTATTTGTAATTAGATCAGTTTAAGGAGAACCACTAGTATGTCAATGATATTGGTATGCAGTTGTATAAGCATTGTCATTTCTCATTTCCATGGAGGTTATTTGGCCCTGTAAAGTAAATGCCATTTTAATTCAACATATGCATTATACTATCAAAATTACATAAAGGCAAGACATTTCAACAGTTACTTTGAAAGATTTTTGTAGTTATTTTATTTTCTATCATATTACATTTATATTTTTTACAAATTCTGAGCCTTAAGTAAATGTTAAGTAGTTATTCAAAATATAGTTTGCAATGGTTTTGTTGATTAACTTTATTTGTACAAACTGTCAGACAAAAGGTACTATACTAATTGTCAGTAAGTTTTGAACTCATTTAGCTTTTTTAAGAGAATTTTGAATGTTTTTTTTATTACAGACAGCCAATCAGGTCGAGAAAGAAGGCCACCAGAGAGAAGACGAAAACGAAATAATAGAAGAAGTCGTTATCCTGGTAATGGTACAGACACAGGAACAGAAACCGATACTAGTGCTTCAAATTATCGTGGTGCTCCAAATAAACTTCAGTCAGCCCCAACACAAACTGTAAAGTCTGAACCATCTGCTAATTCATCAGACACCAGAGCAAATGGTAAAAATAGTACAGGAAATGCTGGGTCGCAAGCATCATACTCTGCTCCTAAGGAGCAGAGGGAGCCACGTAGTAAACCTAGCGGAGGTAGTTCAAGACCACCAATGCCAGCAAAGAATGGTGTTCGGCCCAGTGGTAGTGAATCAGATTCAAAAGGGGGGAAACCCAAACAGAGTTCAGCACCAAAGACAAAGGAACAGATGGTGAATGGAGAATAGTCCTCTGACTGTGAAAAGTTGAATCAAGTCAGCCACAAGACAAGAACAGCTGACAGTGGCTTTCTCCTCCCATTCATGACCCCCAGAAATGACGACTTTACTACTGATGTTGAAATGTTAATTTAATTCATACATCAAAATTTGTTGAAATCTCAAATATGAAAAAAAATGCTGAATTATAGCAAATATATTACTTAATTTTAGGCATTTGATATCATTTGTTTGTGATTTAGTTTTTAGTTATGTTAACAAAATATTTGTAAACTCCTTTTTAAAATTAATACATGTTGAATCAACTGTTAGGGCTGTTAAATAAAACATGCATGATGCTCTGACAAGAAAGATACTTTAAAAATTGATAAATTACCAATATAAATATTTTCTGTAAGGAAGCACTCACTATCAAAGTGGGTTCTCCTTGGGTGACCAAGAAACTATATGATTCTTAAGTTAAGTTTTATTTGCTCTTTAAAATTTTTTTTTTAAAAATTCAAAAATTGTAAATAAATACACAAGAGTGATTAAATTTTATTGAATTTGGTTGGAAATACAAGAACATGTATTACACAAATTAAGATTGATATCAAATGTTTAAACCATTTTACCTAAACTTGAGGGAATACTTACTAGAAATGTAACTTTTATCATGTCTGAAATTCATAGTTTAAAACATTCTGTGGAGAGAGAAAGAGTGAAGATCTCTCTACGTTTGTACAAAATGAAACATAAAAACTATGCATTTGGAACCAGTATTAAATATTTCATTGCTCGCTTATTGTGGATTCATTCACCTAAATAGCTATCATGGCTTCTCAAAAAAAATGATAAGTTGCTTTTCAAATTTACACCATTTTCTCTATTGAGAAATATGAATTCATTATCTATTAGTAGGACTGTGAAATATTAGAGCATGAGAAGTAAGAATCAACAGTTAGCAATACTAAATGCATAGTTACAGAGAGTTATTTGGTATTTTTAATGTTTATTAAGAGTTAGTAATTTATTAATGCTTTGAATGAATATATAGTAAAATCCTATTCACTCAATACTATTCTATGGGCATGTTTCAAAGAGAGAAATTGTATTTGAAGCATTAGATAATAGAACATTTAACTTTGTAGTTCAGTGATGAAATATGCCTACTTCCAAAAGAGTTTTGTTTTCAATAGTTGCTTTTGAGAAAACGAAGCATTATGAATTTCAGACATGAATATAAACAAGGTATAACTGTTGGCTAATTAAGCCTTTGACATGGATTTTATATACATATAAACATCTGAAAGCTATATTAATAAATTAGAAACAGTAGGTTTCTATCTTTTATTTTTGGAATGTATCGTATTATAATATTGTTGACTATTTAAGAGACAATTGGTGTGTGTTAATGTCATACTCAAAATTTATCCATTTATTGGTTTAGGAATTTTTTAGTAGTGGTCACCCTATTATTGATATGAAGTCTATTTGTGGCATGTTCCTTAATACTCAATAATCCATGATTGGAACAAATTGATGTCACAATAGGTTTGTGCACATAAAGATGATAAAGTCTTCAATAGGATAATTTTTTTGTAATACAAATTCCAAAGGAAGAGCTTCATACTAAAAATGTGTGCACAATCAATGCTTTCACAACTCTATAAAATAACAAAAAAAAGAACCATTTGATTCTGATAATTACATTTATATGTTTAACCATCAAAATATGAGTTATGTCAAGCTTTTCATTTGTTTTCTATGCATTGCTGTGACGTCTTTGGAAGCATGTGCAGTCATGCGAATGATGCATTTTATTGAGAAATAAAATTTGATTTTGGAAAGCTAGTTATTGTTATCAACCAATCAAAATATGGATTCTTAGGAAATATACATGTAATGTAATTATGTTCTATGTTCAATTTTCTGATATGATATATTCATAAAGAAGAACTTATGCCAGTTATGGTAGATTTTTGTTAAGTTTGTTGGTTCATTAGTAGCCTCGTATTTCTGTTTTTTTTTAATTCTAAAGCTTTGGAACTTTCAAATGTAAAGTTTTCTGGTTAGGTGTATTTATAAAGACTATCTAAACCATTTATATTTGGTATGCTATTAGCATTTCTACACATATCAGCTTTAAGCAGAATATAAGACTCCACCTTTTTAGTTATGCCTTGATGGCTTTGGAAGTTTCTTATTTTATAAATGGTAATTTTTCCAAGTGTGTTTCAGAATGTACTTACAACAGACCATTGGTACATGATATGCTGTTCCATTAGCTTTTAGGCCTCTTTAGAATTATATTCCGTCCTCTAAAACTACAACGGAGCAAGAATTATTCTACTTGGGGTCATGAATAATCGTGTTTTGCTTGTATATATTTCATATTGTTAAATTAATTAAGAATGTTTGTATATAAGGTTGGTTTTAAGTTGCTTCATTTGTTATTTATTTGTTTCCATGGAATCATCCTTGCTCTGCTTGTTAGATTGATTTATACCTGTAGAATCATATCCAAATATATAGAAAAACATGTACTCACATTTTATCAAGCATCTATTTATTTCACATAAAAAACATTTGTACCTTGAAATTATATGAATCCACAGCATGTGTGACAAGAAACTAGATTATGCATAATTGTAAAGAATACTGTGTTTATATTGTTATAAGTAACCTAATTCAGTAAATAGTTTTTAGGGTGTTTCTTATAGTTCACATGTAGATAATTCAATGAGAGGATTTTTCTGAGATACTGCACTAGCAAGGAAATTAAATTTTGTATGTGTTTTTGCTCATTGTTGAAGACTTTCTGGTAACCTGTATTTGTTTACATTCTGTGCTGTGGACACTTGTGGATAGTTTTCTCATTGGCAATCATACCACAACTCCTTATTTCAATTTGGTTTTTTCCAAATATTCACTTATTGTAAATATTATCATTTTGTCTGCAGTTCAATATCTTTTTGAGAGTGAATTATGATAAACATACATTTGGTGGTCTCTTAAGGTGTTCTAATGTATGCTTAAATAATCCCTACAACAATTTTGTTCATCAGAAACTATGTTGAATGTTAACCTATGGAAGTTTTCTCTTGCATGCATTAAAAAATATCATTCCGGTGTGAAATATTTGACCAATGATTACACCTTTTTTTACCTTTTATTGATTTTTGTCATTGGAATAGAAGAATTGGATATGAATTAATCATTTGAAAAAATTAGTTGTTAATAACTCAATTATATCAGTAAAAATTGTGTAATGGCAGAATTTGAGCAGTTATGAAAAAGAACATTTTGAATTAAATCTTTAATTCAGAGAATCCTCAAAAGGTTCATTTTGCAAGTCAGATTCTTCCTTTCTTAAAATGTCCCCTGCTGCCTTATATTACAGTTTTCATATTATGGTAACATATTTATGGTTCAGACTGGAAAAACAACACTTATCAACTATAGAACTCAAAATGAAGTAAAAACGGTAAAATTTGTACATTCAGGGGAAAATCGAATTTTGTCATTGTCATTTTAATAACACCTGCTATTGCATGAATTAACATGTATAAAAGTTTTGCTGAATTTTGTTATGAAATGCAGTTATTTACTTTTTTGTTGTACTCAAGGCATTCTATCACACAAAAATATTGGTTGTATCTCTTCATGATCGTTAGTATAAATAAATTGTTTATAACAGGGTATTAGAAATAACTAATGCCACTATTGACATTTTCGTTTTCCACTTTATTGAATGAACTATTCTATTCTCTGATAAATTTACTGGTAGTGCCTTGAACAAGATGTTCATCTTGGTCTGATAGTTCTACCATAGTATCAAACAATTATTTATATCAAATTGTAATAGGTGGCTCATACAATTCATGGTCAGGTCATCAGAGTTCTAATTATAACTGTTTTCATTGGCTGTAGTGCATGGTCTTTAGTTTGATTAATATGAAATCACAAAAACTGGCAGTGCTGTAGAAACTAGGTACATATATCTGTAAAAACAGAAATGTTTATTTATTTTAAAAACTTGACAAATAAAGAACTGTCTTTTTTGTTTTTGTTTGGTTATATATAAGAAAGATGACTATCAATTTTGGATTTCTTACTTTTTTCAATCAATTATTTATCAGTTTAATGAAGTTAGGTTACTTGATTTACCAATGAAATCATTGCCAGTTTTTGAGATTTCTATAACCTTACAAGTATTATGTCTTCATTTATGTGTAGACATTCCAAATTAAAGCTTTCAGATGTTTATACATTGTTTTTTGCCAGATTTGACATTTATTCGTACAAGTGTGAATGATGGTATTTGGAATTGTATGCTTGTGTTTAGTTTTGAATTGTATGCTTGTGTGTAGTTTTCAATTAATAGAAGTACTTAAGAATAAAAAAAAAACCATATCACAATTTCCATAGTTTGTTGGCTTACTGAACTATGTTAGGACTATGTGATACCTACTCATGATTGAAAAATACATAGTGATTTTCTAATTGCATTGAAGTTTCAGAGTTTTTCTTGATTGTGAATAAAGATTGCATTGCATGTTTTTGTTAGAGATGCAGTTTTATATGGCAAGTAATGTAGCATGTGCTTCATGTTTGTGCCAAATAAATCAAGTTCACTATGAAGTATTTTTTTTAGATTTTAATGCATATGATTGGTGTAAATATAAAAGATTGTCAACACATTTTACATTTGGAGACTTTACAGGAAAACTTATAACATAATTGATATCCTTAATAGTTAAATATTATCAACAAAAAATTAATTGTGCCAAAGTAAAACAAACTTTAAAGGAAGAAATGTTATATCAAAAAAGTGTGAATACAGAATATAGCAATAGATTATGAAAAGAACTGCGATATTCAGAATGTGCAATTTCTGTCTTTTTTCAGTTGAACTATTGATATCAGGCGTTATAAAGCATTGTAATTGAAGTAAATATTGAAAAGGAGAAGGTATGAAAAGTCCTATTTCTTTGGCCCCTTGAATTTAAAACTAAGAAGAACTATGTATCTATCAAACAAACCTTCAGATGTTCACAAGACGTTAGTCTGTCAGTTATCAGTATTTATATTAGTAATCTTGTCTTGCATATTTTCTTTAAACCTTTAAAACTAAAAAAATCAAAGCACTGTTAATGTCTCAAACCAGCCAATCTCACTTGATCACAAAAAGTAGCATGTCCTTACATGTAAATTATTACTTTAAATCATTTCTTAACAAAGGATTTATTGAAAGCAATTGTTGGATTGTGTTTTCTCAAGTATAGAAAGGGATATATATGTGACTTGGTTAAAAAGTCTCTAACTTTTGTTTTTGTAGATCTGATTTTAGACAAGCAAAATTCTGTTATCTGAATGGAGCACAATCAACAGTTAAGTAAACTTTTAAATGTCATCTTATATAATTTTGGATAACTGAGATTGATTGAATACAGCTTACATGGAATTTTATCTAATTACTTCTACAAGTATAAGATGCTGATAAAATACTATAATGATTTTAACTGTTTGAAAATTATATCTTACCTTTTTACCAAATCATAAACAGTAATATTTTATAAATTTTTATCAACATAGAAACTACTGGTATATGCAAGTGTATTTAATTAAAATAATTTAATTGGCATAACTTCAAACTATTTAATTTTTCATTTAATGGCAGATTACATATGATAAGCTGTTTATACTGTCTGTAAGTTATTAAAACATCTATGGTTTGATAACACATGCCTTTCAATCAAATTCTGTCCTATCATAAAATCTGGAGTAATGACATAGAGTAAAATTGGCCGACTCAAACTGATAAAATAACATTATTTTCAGATTTGTCATATATATGAACAACAGCCTCAATGTAAAGATATTTTGCTGCAAGATATCTTATACAAAGAAGTTAATATGAGTAAAACATCTTTGTTCGTAAGTCTGTTGCCAGATATCTTATTTTTTCCATAAACTTTGTGTACTGAAAACTCGGAAATTTTTGCTAAGTTTTTATTATTGCATAAATTGCAATTGAATAGGTTTCGCAAAAATAAATTTTCTGATATTGTAATAATTAATCCTTCATTTTTGTTCATTGATCTACAATCACAATAAATGAATGCACATGAAGAGAATATGAATTAAAAGACACATGGAGTGACCAGAATACCAGTACAGTTACCTATTTATAGATCAATAAAATTTATATCAATTGACTATTTTTACTTGTTAAGGTCCTAAATAATGGTTCATATCATACCTTCTCCTCTCCATACTGTAGCCTTTAAACAATTTTACATTTCTTTTTCTGGCATACTTTTCTTCATTGTAGGACAATCAGGTTGATGAGAAAAAAGCCATTATTTGGTGATTATATTCTGATCAAAGATTAAGAGTGTACAAATATGTTTAAAATGATTTCTAAATTTTCAATATGAACTTAGTACAAGATTTAGAAGTTCAGCTTTTGACTGAGATGTTAATCAGAAGAAAAGTCTGAAGTTTTTTTTTCTTCCAATAACAGAAACTTTAGTCATGAGATCTGTTAGTATATCAAAATTAGAATATAATTGATTTGATTTTGTCTTTTAGTGGGATATATAAAATACAAGAGAGGTTAGAAATTAAATTTTAGGATAGGTAGTTGTTATTTTACACTTAGATTTCTGTATTTGGTTATTTTTCCTCTGTTTATCTGACATAAGTTATGTATCATTTAGATATTTTTCTCCCGATCCAGTATGTATTTCAAAGTATATTAAATTGACACAATGATTGACTTACTGATGAAGGACAACAGTCTAAAATGATATTTTAATTGCATAAAAACTATACACTTATATGAAGTATCTTATATTACTGGTATTAAACAATGCAAAGGAAAGTATACACTGTGACTTTGAGATGAAGAACAGCTATACAAATGCTGTATTGAGTTTTGTCATTGGTGTAAAGATTGTGTGAACTAATACACCACCATATTCTTTCTTTTACATGATATCTCAACAAAATTCTGTGGTTTACCATAATGTACAAAACTGAAGTAATATAAAATTATCAAAGAATTTATGAAACATATGAATATCGCTTATATTAAGGTAATGTAATAAAGTTTTGATAATGTGGTTGTTAAGAGAAACAGATGATCATCTCATTAATTAGTAATAGAAATACTTTCATTGTTAGCCGTTACTTCTGTATTATTGACACTATGCATAGAGGTCAGTGTTATTGCTTTGAATAATACAATTGTGTTATAACCATCAGAGGTAAGACCATTTACATTGGACAAGATCTGTTTGATAATAATAATATTTTAAGCAAAAAATAATTTGTGTGTTTTTAAAGAAGGTATATTTTTCATGTGAGTTGAATCTTTATGTAGTTGATAAATTAAGATATGTTTTATAAGGGCTTTTAATTAAAGAAAATGAGGTTAATAAGTAACTACATTAAAGTTGATAAGAAACCTGAAAGTATTTTAGTTAAATATGATCCAGCTGATTATCTTGAACATTGTTGTTATTAACTGGTTTTGTATATTGAAATACATGATGCTGTTACTTAATTACTTTTTAAAAAACGTTGTTCACACCTAAAGACCTGAATAAATGAAAAATGGCAATAGTTCTTTTATTTTATTTGTCAATATGAATGAGTATAATTGCAGGGTGAATATAATTAAATATCTACCCAACGAAAGTTTATCATCTAGATATAAATCCATATTGTCCTTGACAATTGACCATTGGCCTACACTATATTGTAAGGTCTTAATTGGCACAGGTTTGGTCAAGTTTTGTGAATAAATTCAATAGTGGTGATAAAATACTCTTAGTAACATACCAAATTTATATATATATATAAAAATAAAAGCATTATTAGAAAGGGACATCTAAAGAATGATGGGAAGGTATCTGACCTTGACCACCATTCTTTTTATACTGTATTTGGTACAAATTAAAATTGAGAATGGAAATGGGGAATATGTCAAAGAGACAACAACCCGACCAAAGAGCAGACAACTGCCGAAGGACACCAATGGGTCTTCAATGCAGCGAGAAAATCCCGCACCCGGAGGTGTATATAAAATAATTTTAAGATGCACATCTTTCTAACAGGGTTCATGTGACTTTGATTTCATTTTTATACGACCGCAAAATTTTTTTTTTGCGTCATATATTGGTATGATGTCGTTGTCATTTGCGTTGTCCTCCGAAGACAAATTTGGTTTCCAGACAATAACTTTAGTTCAAGTGAATGGATCTCTATGAAATTTTACCAGAAGGTTCAATACCACAAAAGGAAGGTTGGGATTGATTTTGGGGGTTATGGTACCAACAGTTTAGGAATTAGGGGCCAAAAAGAAACATTTTTGTTGTTTCCGGACAATAACTTGTGTGTAAGTGTATTGATCTTTCTGAAATTGTACCACAAGGTTCCATATCACAAAAGGAATGCTTGGATTGAGTTTGGGGGTAATTGCCCAAAACGTTCTGGAATTGGGGGCCAAAAACAAGCATTTTTCTAGTTTCCAGACAATAACTTGTGTTTATGTGTATGGATCTCTCTGAAATTGTAATGCAAGGTACCATACCACAAATGGAAGGCTGGGATTGAGTTTGGGGGTAATTGCCCCAAACGTTCAGAAATTGGGGGCCAAAAAGCAGTAAAAAACAAGAATTTTTCTAGTTTCCAGACAATAACTTGTGTTTAAGTGTATGGATCTTTCTGAAAGTGTACTGCAAGGTACCATACCACAAAGGGTAAGCTGGGATTGAGTTTTGGGTTAATTACTAAAAGGGGGGTAAAAAAATATAAGGGGGGGGGGATTTTTTTTTCTCTTAAAATTGTCCATTTTTGCATTTATTATTTAAAAGCAAAAAATACTGATATGGCAGGAGATACACACCAAACATGACGTGTAAAATATTATATGAAGTATTGTGCAACAGCACACTATTGCGCAATAGCAGGAAATCTTCAATTGCATTGCATTGTGCAATAGCAAGAAATCTTCAATTGCATAGTATTGCGCAATAGCATAATATTGCACAATAGCAAGAAATCTTAAATTGCACAGTATTGTGCAATAGCAAGAAATCTTCAATTACACAGTATTGCGCAATAGCAAGAAATATTCAATTGCACAGTATTGCAGAATAGCAAGAAATAGCCAATAGTGCCCAATAGCCAGAAATCTTCAATTGCATAGTATTGCGCAATAGCAAGAAATGTCCAATTGCACAGTAATTGTGCAATTGCAAGAAATCTTCAATTGAAAATTAATACAAATATTTCAACCCTTTTCAAATTTTTAAGATTTTTCACCACATTTATTTTGTGTCAGAAACAAATCTATATTCAGTGTAAGACATAGGGATGATAATCAGGGAAGCAGCAGCGTAAATAATTTGTCATAAAAGAACATCATCCCAATGTCCACTGCATTGCACATATTTATCTGCCTAATAACCTAAAAAAAAGTTCTTTAAACTTTTAATAAATATCTTATAAGAAATGTAAGCATGTTATGGCTAATAATGTTATTTTTCATATATTTTATTTACAGGGGACATAACTCCTGTAAAATAGTTTGTTGGCACTCTTTCAAGACATTGCTGATATAAACTTCATAAACATTTGACAAGAAATGTAGCTGTAAGGATGCTTCCAATGCAATGTTCAATATGAATTACATTTCAAAGAGATAACTCCGGATTTTCGAAACTGTCTCCGACATTGCTAAAATAAACCTTTAACATATATTTGAAAAATATCTTGCAAGAATTGTACACTTAAGAGGGCTTACAATGCAATTTTCTCTAGAATTTACATTTCTAAGGGACAAAACTTCAGTAAAAATAATTGATCAACACGGATGTTTGACTACTCGTCCATGACATTGCTGAAATAAACCTTCATTATAAATTTCATCACAATCCTGCAAAAAATTGTGGGCTTGAGAGCACTTGCAATGAATTTTCCATATAATTTTTATTTCCAAGAGGCATTACTCCTTTAAAAATGATTTATCAACTCTAATTTTCAAACTTGTCAGAGACATTGCCAAAATAAACCTTTCATGTAATTCTTTTTTAAATCTGGCAAGTATTATGCATGCAAGAGCACTTACAAGACCAGTCAGAATGATGCCCAGGTGACAAAAAAATCTTTATATTACAAAAGGTAGAAGACCTGGATGCGTCATACCTTGGTTACAAAGTGTTTGTCTGTCGTGTGTCCAGTTTCCTAAACCTCATTTTGATGCTTCAAAAACTGCTCAAAAACCTTTTTGTCATGTGAATTTCTTGCTTATTATGAGAAAGGGGATAACTATATTTTGTATATGGGATCCTTGCAAGGTCTCATGACTGTCCTATAGTGTTCACCTGACCTAAACCAGGTTTAGTTTTCGTGATTATGTCCCATCCTGAGATATTATAAGCAGCTGTTCAGTTATATTTGATGTATGGTGGACATGTCCGTCTTGTAGTTTTCATCTGACCTTGATCTCATTTTCATGATTCATTGGCCAATGTTAACTTTTTCTTGATAAGGTTTGTTTCTCAGATACTAATAAGCAGTGGGTCAGCTATATTTATTATACCCCCGCTGTCTGTCCGTCCATCCATCCGTCAGTAAGAGTTGAATTCGGATGTCAAACTACCTACCTCAAGTGTTTTAACTCCGGATTCATTGACATTTTATCTGGAATGTCAATGAATCCGGAGTTAAAACACTTGAGGTAGGTAGTTTGACATCCGAATTCAACTATTAGATTAATATCTGTGATAGCCGTATGTTGCAAGGGAGAGGACAAGCCTAGCGTATTCTTATCCAGAGTATCAGTGCGTATGCTTTCTATTTACTATTTCTTGCGTAAAAATACCACGTTCATGCATAAATAGTAATTTCATTCGCGAATGCGAATTTTCGCTTTTCTTATCTAAATTCAGGACACGGCAATAAGAGCTTGCCATGTGACTTTCAAGCACGGTCATCATTGCTTACGGTATTCTGACCTCTAGCTGTTTCTCTTTTGTTTTCTTTTTTGAGTCACTGTCCTTTTATAAACTTTGACATTTTCGAAATGCCAAGGGTTTTCTTTCCAAGGAATAGATTACTTAACTTCATATTTTATTTGGCTTTTTTAACTATTTTTATTCGAGCGTCACTGATGATTCTGTGTAGATTTAACTCGCTTCTGGCGTACAACATGTTAATCCTGGTATTTTTTTTATATCTACATGTCTTTTTATATAAATTGGTTCTATTGAGAGTAAGTTCAGGTATTCATAAAACTCCTGAAAATAAGAAATTCTTCAAAATCGAGTTTCCCTGTAAAATATTTGGATTGATTTAAGTAAAATCAGGAAAATTTTAATCCTTTAAATTTGAGATGTTTTATGAGACCAAAATAAGTCTCTATATAAAAGGTCCAAATGAAGCTGGTGTGTTACTCTCAAGAAAAATATACGAAACCTTCTTATAAGTTGCATGCCACAGGGTTTCACTTTACATGGAAAATGGACTTTAAATTTATCTGTACAACATCTACCATGAGTACAGACAACTTCAATAACGAGTTGAGAATATGAAGGCATCCATGCAGGAAACAAAATATAAAAATGTGATAGATAAAATAAATGCATCCAGATTATAATGCAAACTGAGTGCTTAAATTTGTATTGCGATTGGTTTGTGCATTATACATCCGGTTTGTAGAAACTGGGATTTGCAATGGGATTATAAAAAATTGATGTACAATCCAAAGTAATAAATGAAATAGTCGAGCTTTAAAATGTATATTCAAATAGTAGCTGTTTATACACTTTTCTATTCACACCTATCCAACATTGCTTTCAACTGACTTGTGCAAGAATGTACACACTATTACATATTTTTGATAAAGGTAGTTTAACTTCATTATTATATCCTTCTATTCACAGTCAATTATTTCAATTCAAAAGCAAACAAAAATTCAGCAACAATCTTTTGGTGACCAGTCAGTGGTCTTAGGTTCACGTATTGCTTTTCTTTTTTTAAAGAAAGCAACTTGTTTATCAATTTACATAAAGATGGATCTATACCATAACTGATAGACATTTTTATAGATACAATAGCTACATAGTAAAAAAAAAGACTCCACAAACGGCTTATAATTTAACACACAGACGCACGTTACGTCTACATAAGACTATTCACTGGCGCTCAATTAAAAACAGTTAAAAGATCAATTCAACCACCAAGATTAAAATTCAGATCTATCGCAATAGGCATGCATAACGAAATCGGAGATCTATATTTTAATTAGATAGTTGATCATACAATCATATCTTTGATGGAAAATGTACCTCAGGGTAAAATGAGCACTATTGTTTTGAGGTCACTAGTTCAAAGATTAAGGTAACAAGAACAATTAATAGACTAAACTGTTAGTAAAAGTGTTGTTTTCACATAACGTCTTACGAACCATATATTCAACCACTACCAAAGTTAGTGTGGTACGGTAATGATTGCCATCATCTCGCATACATTTTCAGCAGACTTTACAGTTTTAACATCAAACCAAACAAATCAGTTCCTGACAAACACGCACACACACACACAAAGTTTCTTCTTCA